TGTGGGCTCTCGATCTCTCTTCATATTTATCAGGTATTTCTCTACCTTTCAGCTGATTGTCATTTTACTGTTGTGTAGATGACAACATGACTATCTAACATTACTCATGAACACTGAACTAGAGATTCATCTGATTCTGAAATGTATAATATGTAAACATTAGATTACATTTGAATTCCATTTTGATTATAACAAGAAATCTGAACATTGCATTTGTCAAAAAGGGAAAATGAAGAACCACTTTAATGTCATTACTTTAAATCTAATTTCAGGTCCTTTAAATACATAAATGTAAAAATTTATATTCAAGTTATTAAAAATTATTAATCTTATATTTATTGCAGCATTATTTACAATAGCCAAAATATGGAAACTATCTAAATTGTTTCTTATTTAACAGGAGAAATAATGTCTTCATGGTTCTATAGAACTTTGGTTGAGACTGGTAATAGCTGAAAAATATTTTTTTATTAAGGGCATAATCCTATGATTCACTAGTCTTAAATGTTTAATGGAGGGAAATGTTTATTTCAATAGTTCATCATTCCATCTGTAGCTGGGACACATGGACCCTACAACTTTTTCTTTCAAGGATGAAAATGGCAAGAATCCATTTTCATGTTATCAGTAGATGAATGAATGGATTAAAAGATACACAATGGATTATTACTCAGCTATAAAGAAGAATGAAATCTTGCCATTTGCGACAACACAGATGAACCTAGAAGGTATTATGCTAAGTGAAATAAGTCAGACAGAAGACAAATACCATATGATTCCACTTATATGTGGAATCTAAAAAAATGAAATCAATGAATAAACAAAACATAAGTAAACTCATAAACACAGAGAATAGACTGGTGATTGCCATAGAGGAAGCAGGCGTAGGGATGGGTGAAATAGATAAAGGGGGAAAAATTAGTGAAAAAAAGGAAAAAAATTACCCATCAGGAATTGTTCATGATGATTTCAACCAAAAACCTGTATTAAAACTGTTGTGCTCAAGGAAGCAAATTCAAGTTTCCCATTCAGAAATTTGGAAAGAAATTATTTGCAACTTTTATACAAATTCGAAACATCTTCCCTGTAATTTTGTATCTTATTTTTACTATTATGATATTAAAAAAAATTAAATGTCTAAACAAGTTCCGTTTAGATACCCTAGTCCTTTCCTAATTTCTTCATTATGCTGAACAATTATCATTTCTCTTCATCTAATCATGCCATGAAATGTGCTGATGGTTAATTTTGGGTGTCAGGTTGGCTAGGCCACAGTGCCTAGATATACGGTCAAACATTATTCTGGATGTTTCTGTGAGAGTATTTTGGATGATATTAACACTTAAGTCAGTGAGCTTTGAGTCAAGTAGATTGCCCTCCACAATGTGGTGGGTCTTGTCCAATATGTTGTAGGCTTGAGTAAAATTAAAAACTGACCCTCCCTGAGCAAGAGGGAAATCTGTAGCAGACTGCTTTTAGACTTGAACTACAATACTGGCTTTTCCTGGGTCTTCAGCTTGATGATCTTTGAACTTGAACTGTCACATTCTCCTTGGGTCTCCGGGCTGACAGCCCACCCTGCAGATTTTGGATTTGTCAGCATCCATAATCTCATGAGTCATTTCCTTAAAATAAATCTCATTTTATATATACACACAGATCCTATTGGTTCTATTTCTCTTGAGGACACTGATTAATACAAACACCAATAATAATAGCAAATAACTGATGCTCATTTTGTACCAAGGTACATTGCTAGTCATCCTAACAAAAATTAACTGTTATCCAGCTCTATATATGTGGTAACAGAAGCTCAGAGAGGTGAAGCAACTTGCCGAGATTCAAAATAGCTAATAAGTAACACAGTCAAAATATGAAACCACACTTTGTTCTAAGGCATATGCACTTATCCCATGTTCAACATACTGCCTCTCTAGAGCTACACTGGAATAGGGTTTTGCAGTTTAAGTCCAAATAGCAGAAAAAGAAATCATGTATGTCATGCATGACCAGCATTGTTTAAAGGAGAGAATGGTATACAGTAAAGCAAGAGTCATCAATCTTTTTCTATAAAGGGCCATACAGTAAATATTTTACACTCTGCTGGCATGTTGTCTCTGTAATGACTACTAAACTCTGCTCCTGTAGTCCCAAAGCAGCCGTGGACAAGCCACAAACCAGTGGTTCTGGTTTACATATATTTGGCCCTATCTGGATACATTTTACTGCAATGACTGGACTTGGGGGATGCTACAGGCATCTAATGAGTAGAGGTAAGATGTAATGAAATATCTTACAATGCAAAGGATAATGCCCACACCAGTTATCCAGTCCAAAATATCAATAGTGTTGCTATTGAGAAACTTTGATGTTAAGATGGTTGTATTCCAACTGAAATTTATTTATGGACACTGAAATGTAAATTTCAAATAATTTTCATAGGCTGTGAGATTTCATTATGCTTTTGATATTTTCAACCATTTAAAAAATGTAAAAACCACTCTTAGCTTGCAAGCTGTACACAAACAGGTGCCAGGCTGGGTTTGTCTCACAGCCCATAGTTTGCCAATCCCTGAAACTGAGTAATCAAAATGTAGGGCTAAGCATATTTTGTGAAACTAAGTATATTTTGTGCAACTCTTCTTTCAGTTATACATGTCTATGTTTCTACTGGTTATCTCTGTGTAAAGTATATTACTTTCCTGTGGGATATGCTTGAAAGACATGATTCTTTTGGAATCAATTATTATTTTCTAAGTGTGAATTTAGGTTATAGTATCCCTCTGAACTGTGGCTGATTCTTTAAATTAGATTCTCCTCTGTATGTGCTCCTTAAATTAGATTCTCATAAGAAATTCTGGGTTGAGACTCTATAGGAAACACCTTTAGATGAAGACAAGACTATATGCAAAGAACTGAACTCAGTTTGAATGAATTCAACCAGGACCCAACTGTGGTTAAGGATTTACATGTGGTATTGCTCCAGACTAAGTTCGCAAACCTCAGGCAAACAGTCTATGGACGGTCCTGATGTGATTGCCCTGATGGAGTCTGCAGGAAAGCACCTGCAGACTCAGGGGAAGCCCTGTTGTCATCCCAAATTAGCCTGAGAATTGCACGACCCTCTCTATTTCTCCAACCTTCAATAAAGTCTCATTAGAAGTTGCAACCTGGCCTCAACTACACTGTGGGTGACTTCAAATAAAGCAGGTCTGTTTGTAAGCGTGGGAGGAATGGTGGAGTCTTGAAGGAGTAGCCACTGCTAGGAAGCCAAAAAGAAGACTTGAAGCCGTGGGGCTTGGCCATGGGTGGAGCAGAAGCAGCTCAAGGCAGCTGAGACGGCAAGAGAACAAAACATTTATCAAGCATGAATGGTTTCCCTCACCTGGGGATGCCCTGAACTACACAGGGAAGAGAAGCTACTAGAAATATGGATTTCCTGAAGCCAGTAAAAGATGGGAATTTTAGCCCATCATCATTTGGCATTAAAGGGAAGATAATGCCATTTTTTAGCTACTAGCTAATAAAACCCATGGCACCATAACAAGTACATCCCTGAATAAGAGGTGCTACCACCACCCAAGCCTACATTTTGTATTATTTCCTTAGGACAAATTATCTAAAATGAAATTAGTGAGGCAAACTATAAGAATGTTTTGGAGACTCTTGATAAATATTTTCAATTTTCTTTTTCCATTTATAAAAACAAAATGCTTATGCAATAATTACCAAAAAATTTTTTTTCTTGTGTTCATTTTACTTATGCTCTGAGACACTTTTCAATCTCTAGTTGAGGTTTCCTTTCTTAATATTCTTTTCAGGACCTTGTTCTTCTATCTGTGAACTCTGCAAAAATACTTAGGAAAGGAAAGCACTATGTACATCTTTCCTACAAATACTATCCTCCCTTTAAAATGAGTTTTTCTTTCTTTGACCTATGGGAGTTCATGATATGTGGTCAAATCTATCGTGTGTTTTCTATGCCCACTTTAAACTTAGAGAATACACTGCTACCCCAACATGTATGACTGGCATTATGTTTATATTTACCAATCATGAGCTGAGTCTTTTGTCAAATGAGAATTGACCACAAGAAAACAATTCATTATCTGGCCCTTCACATTTCTTTTCCCTAAGACACAAAGACAAATTTGGAAAATGTAACTAAGGAATATTAGCAAAGCTTCTCTCTGTCACTCCTCAAAGCTAGCTTAGTTCTATCTCAAGTGAAAGGAAATATCTGTATTGTTACCATGTCCTTTCTTTCCAACCAATGTTTTTCAAACTGTCATCCTGGGACAGTATTTCTCCTGCATGTTACCAACAGTTCTTCACAAAAGACTCCACTACCAAATAACTATGGGAAACACTGACTTAATCAAATGTAAATAGGTTTATTTTATGTCAGATTTCTATGATCACTGTGTATACCAATGCCCTTTATCAATCACCAAGGGGATGGGAGGTCGAGCATATAAAATGCAGTCTTCCCCAACTTATTTAATTATGATTTTTTCTATTAATTACTCACCCAATTTGGGAAGTCTGGGGCATACTAACTTGGAAAAATCCAACTGTATGTGTGGTAACTTCCTCTCTCCGTCTTAGGCATGCAAAAGGCCAAATACAGAGGACTGCATTTTAAAATCCCAATGCCAAGGAGTCAGCAGAAAAAGAAAATGTGTTAGCAGAATGATAAAATGAATAGCTGAAATTAAATAATAAAGTCTTCTTGAAAATAGCTGGACTATGAATGTCTGAGAGAAGCAAAATTAAATGGACTGTAGTGTGAACTAAAAAAAAACTGGTATATTACAGAGAAAAGATCATACAGAGGGCTTAATGACTCCACATTCATTGATTAAATGAATAAGTAATTGGATGGCTGAATGGATAAAGGGCTATCACCGCCCACTTGCAAGTGGCCTGAAATCTTAGGAATCTACTAAATTAGCCTGCCCTTTTAGATTTCTCTCTCAATTTCTTTTCTAGCTGAGAATTCAGGCCTTACAGAACTTCCTCTTAGTGACAGTCCTGTGGATGGCATCTTTGACCTCTTTGTTCCTCAAGCTGTAGATAAGTGGGTTCAACATGGGGATCACTGCTGTGTAGAACACAGACACCACTTTATTGAGATCCAGGGAGAAGCTTGCACTAGGCCGTACATAAATAAAGAAAAGAGTACCATACAGGATGAAGACCACTGTCAGATGAGAAGAACAGGTGGAGAAGGCCTTGCGCCTCCCCTCGACTGAGCGGATCCTCAGGATGGCAGTGAGGATGTAAATGTAGGAGACCAGGATGGTCAGACCGCTGAGCACTCCCACAGCTCCAGCCACGACAAAAACTACCAACTTATTGACACTAGTGTCAGCACACACAAGGGACAGCAAGGGGTACATATCACAGAAGAAATGACTGATGACATTGGGACCACAAAAAGGGAGACGAAATGCATTTGTCGTATGAGTCATGGTGTTCATGAACCCGATGACATAGGGACCAACCACCAGCTGGATACAGAGTCTCTGGGACATGGCCACTGAATACAATAATGGGTTGCAGATGGCCACATAACGGTCATAGGCCATGGATGCCAGGAGAAAGCACTCCACTGCCACAAAGAACCCGAAGAACCACTGCTGTACAGCACAGCCCAGGAAGGAGATGGCTCTCCTCTTCTCAAAGAAGTCAGAGAGCATCTTGGGGCTCACAACTGAGGAGAAGCAGGTGTCCACAAAAGACAAGTGGCTGAGGAAAAAATACATGGGCACATGAAGGCGGGAATCGATCCGTATGAGAATAATCATACCCAAGTTTCCAGTTAGGTTGATGACATAGAAACTCAGAAGGAGCAGGAAGAGAGGAACCTGCAATTGCGGGTTGTAATTCAAACCTGTGAAAATGAACTCGGTGACCCTTGTGTAGTTCTCAGGGGCCATGGACGGGTTCTGGTTTCCACTGGAAGAAGAGCAGAGGACGTGCAGCAGATTCAGTAAACACAGCTTCAAAAATGGACTCAGGAAAAATATACTAGTACCTAGGAAGGCATCAGGGATGATACGACTTAGTTGCATGCTGTGGCTGAGGAAACACAAGTGATACACAGTCCAGAGCGAAAAATCAGATCTGAAGCTATAATACTTTAAAACTCCATAGAAACCCATCCGCACAGAGATGAGAAAACAGACTGGCAAAGAAAGGTCCTCTAACTAACTGATAGCAGAGATGAGACCAGAATAAATGTCTAGTAACTCCCATCAATGAACTTTACCTAAGTTTACCAGGTAAACACACACCTGCTAAAATGATACAAGAGAGTGCAAATAAGGCGAGCTGGAGAAGAATGAGCAGCCACTCATCGTTAGGCTGTATGCTGAGCACTTTGTGACGATTACCGAAGGCTAAATGCTCTCCGTGGATCTGCGGTCTACCTCCTGTGACCCTGGGAAAGTTACTTCCCTACATCCATGAAACAGGAATAATAGGAATACCTACCTTGTGAACTGTTGTGAGGATTAAATGAGATAATGCACACCAATCATTTAGCAAAGTCTCAATGAGCGCCTAGATAAGTACACAATGACTGGTAGTATTTTTAATAAGCCTACATCTAACTATCATGAATTCATCTCCAAGCTCAATCCACATTCATACTGCTAAAGACTGGCAGAGGTGGGTTTCGAACAAGTTATGTGTCAAAAGGGACTATGTCACACTGCAGAAATGTCTCCTGTGTCTTCACCACTGCTTTCATCTCAAAGAGGCCCAAAGTCATTCCAATATGAGTACAGGATGATGCACTTTGGGCTTTCTATTTCAGGTGTGGGGATTTTAGCCAATGGCCGTTAGCGGGAAGCTCATAGGTAACAAGGGATTGAGCTTAAATGTTACCTTTATGAAAGTAGTACAGGTTAAGAAATTTGGAAAAAGCCTAAATTATCCCCATCTATATCCTCTATACATCTTTTTGTAACCTACTACAAGGCTGACCTTGGTTAAGTCAACTGATCTCTTTGAACCTGATATGCTCCATTCATTCAATGTGGCTAAAACTCATCACTTGACCTCTCAGAAATGTCAGGGTCGATGTATATATAAGTGCTCAGAAAACCACTTACACTTTACTCTTAAAAGTTTTATGAGCCCAGGAATATGGAATCCAACATCATACCTATGCTAGACACTTTTCCTTCAGTTTCCCAATTTAAAATGCATTATTCAACTTTAGCAAGAGCAATTAAAAAGGAAGATGGAATGGCCAGGTAAACTGTCCAGCCACCACACTCACCTCTTTCTTAAACCTCTTCAAGAGTGTATAATTACTCCTCCAAGGCTGGGTCACACTCTGTTTCTCAGTTTTTCCACTCGACATTTGCCCATAGCTCTTCAACTCTTCTTTGTCTATCTTGCTTTCTAAACCTGCCCAAAGCCTTCAGTACAGATGTTAATTTCTCAGTTTCTCTGCTTCATTAGGAGCTTAGACAGAATACAGTGCTCCACACAGATCAAAGCACACAGTGCCGGGGGCTCAAACAGCTCTCATGTTCAGAGCACTGGGACGTCAGCACAGCCTATGGGAACCTCCCCTTGGCAAGGAAATCCCCCAGGTGGTTTACACAGGGATGTGAGTGGAATTCACTGCCATCTTTCCCCTTACCCTGTGACTAAAGCATCTCTGTCCCATTTTATACTTATGTGATTACAGTTTGATCTGATTACAGAACCTAAACATATCTCTACATAAATGATCTCTTCTTGATATCTTAATCATCCACAAAGAGGAGGATCATGCTGATCCTGGCTGTGAGCCAAATATGTAATTAATTTTAGTTCCACTTAATTTATGTTCCCTTGAACTTGTTAACAATCAGGTAGAAAGAACAGAAAATGATTTAGAAGTTCCCAACTTCTGTTCTAATGGGCTCCCTCTTTAAAGACGACAAGAAGAAGGAAGGTAAAAATAACCCAAAACACTCAAGTCTCAGCCCTCTTTAACGAGGCTAACTTCACACATACAGAATTTTCAGGGCTCATTTGGTTTTATTCTTTAGTTTCTTCCAAGAAGAAAATGTGGGACACCCTGCTGTAAAACATGTCCAGAGCCATCATCACTCAGATAAATGTCCCCTGAACTAATTGCATCATTTTTTCTAAGTGGTTGTTACTGAAGATGCTCTGTCCCCAGTGTACCTTGGGAATGAACCGCTAAGGGAAAGCATAATTAAAGTTTGCTTCCTATCCTAAGTAAGCCCAATGAGATCTGTTTTCTGATCATTTCATGTTTCTAAAGGATATAATCTCTCTATTCTATCTACTTCCAGGCTAAGCAACAAAATTCAGTGGAATCCTCTGTAAACTGAAGTAGCACAGAGAGGGCAGGCCACTGGAGGAACTGCAACACCAGCCCCTGCTCTCTTGTGCACTAGTACAGTGTGAACAAGTGGAAGGAGTGCCAAAAGGGACTTTTCTCAAACACAGCATTTACCGCACATTGCCAAAGAAATTTATTTTCCTGAGACTGTCCAAAACATGTAGAAAGTTTAACCGTTGCTTGCAAGCAAGACCTGGAAGAGAACGCCTGCTGATGATGTATTAACTGGCAGTAATAACAGGAGATTATTCTGATCTGATAGCCTGTGGCAAAGGGAATATATTTCTCATCACCAAGAAAGGATGAAAAACCAATGAAACAAAATGCTTTTAAGGTGACGCTTCACCTCCACACAGAAAGCATCAGCCTACAAAAGTCAATATGGAAACAGGAATTTTGGTGCTACCCTGAGAAAGGAGGAACTATAAATCCTTCTGCATGACACACAACCTTCTTACTCTAGAAGGTTTACTTGTTTTGCTTGTTTTTAATTTCTTAGCATGCCTCCGTATTTCTTAAAGCGATTCTGTCCACAAGACCTTAAATTTTCAAAACTTTCTGTTGATTTTACACATGAAAAGCAACTGTATTTCTCTCCTGAAAACTCTATAGCCCTTACCCTTTTTTAAATTTATTTCTACTATTAATTATGTTAAAAGGACTGAGAATGGTTTGATTTTTTTTCTCCGTTTTTGGTAGCAGGTTTTGATGACCTTTGTACCTAAAGAGTAATGTTATTAACATCACAGTGGAAGGATCTCCTCTTAGATTTGTGAGCTCCTTTTCACTGATTTTTTTATCTAAAATGGTAAAAATTTTAAATATAAATTATTTGACTCTTCATTAGCTCAGAAACAGTATAAATTCAATCATCCCTCCATTTTGATTGCTGATTTATCCCAAATTTACACCTAATACCTGTTGCTGAATCTCCACTTTGTTTTTCATACTATTATGTTTCTTCTCATCCTTTCAATGTTTTCTTTTTTCTCTGCATCTTCTAGAGCCCATCAAATTGGTATTCTCAATCTTGAACTTGCCTTTTTTTTAAGGGTTAATTCTTCATTTAAAGCTTCCCATCTGGCTTTTAATTCTGACACTGCATTGAAGTTTTCTCAAAGCCCTTCATATTAAATACCTTTGTCACATCATTTTTTAAAAACACTGTCTCTTCGCTCCCATGATTTCTGGGTGTTCTTCATTTAGACAAACATATCTGAGATCTTCCTAGAAAACCCAACTATTTTTCTAGTTTTTTTCTGTTTCCTTTGGCACTTTATTTGAAAATTATATAATTCTTTTGAGTTGGCTGGATGATAATCCCTTTCTATTGTATGACAGTGTATGTATTTCATAGTTTTAATGTCTCAAGAGTTTTTATCTGTGGTGTTTTCTGGAATAGTGGGTCTACAATAAGCATTTGCCATTAGTCAGGGTGTGTGAAGTGCCTTTGGACCTATTTACTGTCTCCCTGAAGGTTGGTTAAACCTCTTTTCTTTGAAAAACTGGTTAATGCTTATTCTAGAAGCATAGTATTTGTATTTTCTAGTTTTTTTGTATTCTTACTGATTTAAATGGCAACTAATATTTTTTAATTAAGTTAAATTAATTAATGTTTTAATTCTTCCTAAATTGCTTATCACATAATTATTTTTAATTTCTTTGTTAATCTGTTTTGAAATTTTAGAATACATATTTCTAAGGTCTCTTTTTAAATTTACTTTCTGGAATAAGTCAAAGAAAAACAAATACAGTATGATTTCACATATATGTGTAATCTAAAAAAAAAAAAAAAATCCCTGAACTCATAAATACAGAAGACAGGCTTGCGGTTGCTGGAGGTGGAGGGTGAGGGGTGGGAAGAAAGGGTAAAGGGGATTAAAAGGTACAAGCTTCCAGTTAAAGAACAAATAAGTCCTGGGTAAATAAGTTACAGCATGGTGACTATAGTTAATAATACTCTATTGCATATTTGGAAAGTTATGAAGAGAGTAGATCTTTAAAATTTTCTTTACAAAGAAAAAATATTTGTAACTATGTGTGGTAATAGATGTTAACCAAACTTATCATGATAACCATTTTGCAATATATACATATATTAAATCATGTTGTACACCTTAAACTACTATAATGTGATGTCAATTATATCTCAATAAAAACAATTATTTTCTGAAGTCATAAGAACCTAATATTCAGATAGTTCATTTCTAGCTATAATGACATAATGAATGTTGATTAAAGTTGGAATGTCAAATTCACAAGACAAACCCATTTGTCAAAGAAAAGGAAGATAATTATGTTTATCTCTAATGTATTTTTCTGTGCTTTTAAATTTTTTCTTCCTTTGCCTAAATGACTTAATGGGCAAGGAAAAATTAACAAAGGAAGGAAAGGTACAAATAAATTATGTTAAGTTTTACCATGGAACATTTACTTATTTGCACATTTTTAGCTGAAAATAAATGTAGATTAAGAAAAAAATATTATTTTACCCATTTTGTCATGACAGCAACAGATTGATCTTGAAAACTTTCAAATTCATGCAATTTCTAGCTCAAACATGACCTC